CTAAGTAGAATACATACATTTGGATCTGCCAGTTTTTAACTCTTTTTGGATTTTCTTAGCTTACCATATGTAAGTCAATAGTCAAATAGTCAAACAAAAGTTTTTCTTCACTATTTTGCCAAACAATTCATGTTGTTTGATGTCAACAATTTTCTATCAAAAGTTTACATTCTTTGTTCTAATTGCATATGTTGGACTCTAAAAAATATCTCGAAAAAATGCGAGAATTTTCTAATATTTTTTACAATATCTCAGCTGTTTCATTTTTCAGAATATTCTTTTTTATGGACTCAATTTTTACTGACATTTTCATATTCTAATGACCCATGCACTTTTAAAGAGTCTAGAGCAGTTCATTCATATTTCGTGTTTTTAGAATCTATGATTTTTCGTATGTTAGTTGTTGCACTGACTTTCCGAATGAAGTATGATTCATCTGTTTGCACTCGAAATACCATAGTGAAAGAGCAGAATAACACGGGATTAAATTGAGCATCCAGTTTTTAATCGCTAAAATTGCACTTCGATCGACTTCCTGTGTGGGCAGAGGGCTGACATTTCACACTTACAATACAGCCTATGGGTATGTCTTCGAAATGTTCTACAAATCTATCTACCTTTTTTTAGCGAAAGCAATGTTTGATACTGATCATAATCAATCATATATATGACCTTCTGTTTGAACTAAATTGAAATGTACTCTGAAAGCACTTTATTTTCATCATTCAAGTACCCAAAACAAGAGTAAACATTTGTGAAATTTGATGCAATTGCCACAAAACAGGTATACCGGACCTTTGAGAAGGAAACCCGAACGGGTAAACAATTTCTTTCACCCTGCCCGGCTGCGGTCCGAAAAATTTTTCTGGAGTAGGTAGAAAATTTTCATTGGGGCATAATTGTGAGCACTCTCCCAAAATATTCAAGCTTTTAAAATTTCTTTCGGACCTTTGAAACTTCGAAACTTGAGAAGAGTGAAGTTTTCTTACTGAAGGGCCTGGCATACTTCACACTATTTCAGTCGCGATGCGATTTGGCAATATTCCAACTGTCCATAACTCATTGTAAGCACATTTCAAATGTACAGAAGATAAGTTATTTTATCAATTCACGTAAGTTAAGGACCGGGCATACTTCACGCGATTTCAGTCGCGACGCGATTTGGCAACATTCCAACTGTTCATAACTCATTGTCAGCACATTTTAAATGTACAGAAGATAGGGCATTTCATCAATCCACGTAAGTTACACATACTATGCATGTGCAGTTTGCTAGTGTTGTATGTGAAGCCTTCTGGCGAATTGCCAAATCGCGTCGCGACTGAAATCGCATGAAGTATGCCCGGCCCTTTATACACGCTTACACGCTATGCATGTGCATCTCGCTAATGTTGGATCTGAATACTTCTGGCGAATTGCCAGATCGCGCCGCGACTGAATTCGCGTAGTATGCCCGGCCCTTGAGCAAACTTGAAATTTCAAATAATTTTGAAATTTTTTTTGCTTATTTACGAGTAGAAATAAGTTACTTGCACAGTTTTGTAAGTCATGTAAATTACTTTAAGAAATTTGTCAATCTATTGTGGAGTGAGAAGGGGGAGGGGGTGATGTTTCGCTGTTCCTAGTGCCCCATTAAGTTTTTTAAAAGTTCTTGGATTTTTTGGGGGAAGGAGGGAAGGTGTGGGAATAACAAAATTTTTATCCCCGCTTAATGTGAGAGTAATTATATCTGACACTTGTTTTTTTACTGGGACTGTTGTCAAATACTTACCCACTTATCGAACAATTACCCAAACACCTGTATGTTTGTATCCATCTATTTACCCCCAGTTCCCCTCCCCCCCACCTCCTCATCCAGAAACTAGATGTGCTAGCGATGAATAGCTAACATGTATGTTATCCAAGGCCAGCTTCACACTCCATTCACGCACTGAATATGCACAACACTTGAAAACAACCCCCCCCCGCTGAAAGCAGTCCCCCCGGCCCCCCACGCGTGCACCCCGTCAGACGCTCCGCCCAGCACTCGTGCGCTCGCCGACTACGTAATCTCCAGGTGTGACGATGATGTCGTCGACTCAGCTGTGCGTGGTCTCCACGGGTGATTTCGTCCCATGAGGACGAGTTTACTCAGTTGGAATTAGTCGGCGTTTATCTGAATGCACGTAGGGGTTCATAGTACCCTTTTATGTGGTTTTTGAATTGTTTTTCTTTTTGAAGAAATCACGGGGTTTTTGAGCTATTGATTTTTTGAGCACCAAGCTTTTTTTTTATTTGAATTATTGATTTTCTAAAATTCTAGCACTTTCCAGATTCATTGTTTCCTTACTTTTCAAAGTGGAAAGTTCCTACAATTAGTTTTGAGCAAGTCCTGATTTTCTCATTTTCGTATTTCTTCTCCATTTTATCAATTTTTTTTCAAAAACCTATTGAATAATTCGCAAATATGTTTTGCTCATTACTTTGAAAACGCGGGAAGTGTTTTGCCTCTCTTTTAGAATGTTGAAGAGGAAATGGGTTTACCCCGTCTGGATATACTTTTTCTTATATCTAATTTTCGGAAAAGCCAGATCCCCAATAAGCTAGCTTTAGCTATACATTCTGTTCTTGAAGGATTGGTCTAACTTCTTGAAGTGTTTATGTTGAAAATGAAAAAGTTTTAATTAGCACCAATGTAGGTAGATTGGGTTTTTAGAGTTACTTCGTTAATAAAAAGTTTTGATTAGCAGCAATATAGGTAGATTGATTTGGCTGGAAATTTAGTACGTGGCACATGACCATGGAAAATTGGAAAATGTCAAAAAATTACGGAAAATGCTTTAATTTCCCCATTTTACTTCGCTTGGCTTTATCAGTGCTAAGAATAAGATTCTTATAATATAACCGCTGCCAAACAGAAGAGAGGAAAGATTTAGATAATTTTCAATCTTGCTCTGGATAATTTTTTGCACTTCCGCTGGTCAGTAGGTAAAACGCTGGAGAAGTTGGCAAAAAAGTTTTCTGAGGAAAAGAAGAAAAGTTTTTTACAAAAATCCTCGAGATACGGAACGTCCGTTATGTCTCTTTCCTGCTCCGATTCTTAGCTCCCCACTCTTCCTTGAGTTTTTCGCGAAATTTATCTTAAAAAATTTTAAAATTGAATTTAAGTGCAATATTTGCAAATAAATCATTACGGTTGTCAATAACCAAAATTTAACCTTAAAAATTATGGGAAAATCAATTTGTATGAGTAATTGCCCATCTAGGCTTTTTAACTGGGTTGGCGGCTGGAAGGCGGGGCACTGTGACCTAGTTAGGGTCTGGGATGCAGTCTGCGGACATTAAAATTGAGATCATTAGAAGTAGATCATTACCTAGCCTTAATTAGGTCACGAAGCCTCGCCTTCCAGTAGCCAAGCCAGTTGAATCAAAGGGTACATAGCGGTGAAAACTTAAAAGTTGTCTAAGAAATTTTTGGTCTACTCTTTCTAGAAAGAATTTCTGCGTCCGCTAATTTTGGTAAATTTGAACTTCCCAAATATTCCATCTTTGAATATTTACAATGTATGTATCGAGTGCCTCGTGACTAAATTTGTACTTTATTTCATCTTTTTTATTTGGCGATAGAATATTGCGCTGAAAACACTCAAAACAAATTTGTGAAAAAAAACTTGCAAAATCTTCCAAAAATTCATCCATAATCTCTACCATTTTTCTCTTGTTGATTATCTGCAAACCCTCAAACGATCATATTCGCATCGGTGCCAGATCTATCATAACAACCTCGTGATCCTTTCACTTCACTACAGTGCATGAATATGGCTCTAATTGGTGTTTTCCAGCTATTCCACGTGTGAATTCGATACTTTTTTTTAGCAATTCGATGTGCGAAAGCTGATATACGTCACTTATGTGGCAGTAGTAATCTAGATAATTTTGTGATAATGCCTTCTTGAGGGGTGTAATGTCTCATTCGAGACATTTTTAGGCACTTGCCTATTGCCCTTTGCTTTAGTGAGACATAGTCAAATTAGTCAAGTTTTCGTCAAGCTGTGTTTTCCTCCTGAATCAATAAATTTTTTGCTCGAGTATGTAATTAAGAATTATAATTGCTTATAATTATCAAGTTGAAAGGCAGTGATGCTGATACCAAAAAGTTTCGCCCTACCCCATTTTTTTTCTTTGATTTTTACAACGTTTCGATTTATTCAGCCAGAACTTGTAGTCCTTAGCGAGTCTAGAAAGGCTCAATCACTGTCTTAGGCATACGCTAACTGACGTAGTAAATAAAAAAGTCCAACACTAGATTTTTTTTCGAGCCCTGGCCACTAGAAATTCGTTAGAAAATACTAATAACGCTATGCTTTTCCATTTTCCTCAATTTTTTTCACCCACAAAGGAGGTGGGATGGAGGATGGAGAGGGGGGGACTTCTTATTTTTATCATCAATGCCTTTGAACGCTATACTCATACAAAGTCTTTTATAAAATCTAAGTTTAGAACTTTTTTGACTACAATATAATTATTTTCGTATCAGGGTCGTCAGATTTGTCTGCGGAAAGTGTGATCTTGGCTTTTTTGTGTTATTTTTTGAATTTGTTTCAAATTCTCCAAGATATCCTAGAAAGTAATGCAGACAATACAGCAAAGAAATGTCGTACAAATTGAGATGGCCGCTTGAGCATTTTTTAACGAATTTTTAAGAGGTTTTTATGCAAGGCGTATGCCCCAGTATTTGCGTGAAGTGCAATATATTTTTTTTCGTTTTTTAATAGCTTATAGGCACATAATAACAGTAGTTATTGAATATAAACACATTATGTCCGCGTTCAACGAAAGGATTGAAAAAAAGGAGAAAAAAATGAAGTAGAACTTAAAGCTCATTTACTACGCTATCACGTCACCAGTCGAGTTCTTAACCTATAAACTCCAAATGACTCCGCATAATTCAATCTGCCATTCCCTCTAACGACCTCAGTCAACCTTTGATAAAATCAGGGGTGTTTTTTCTTTCTGCAAAAATGCGCATAGACCGAACATTACCAGTTAGATTAGATCTTACGCTTGAGTTAGCATCAGCACATAATGTTTTTAGACAGTTCTCTGATAGGTCCTGTTCTTATCTGATACACATTGAGACAGACACAGTAGGGAGAAAAAGTATTCCTGCTATCTACTCCTTGTTTCGTTTAAATTAAGAGTCGGGGTTTATTCTGAATTCATAAGTTTTTCAAATTTTCAAGATACATATTTGTCATCGAGTAGCGATATTCTGATTTTGGTAGCCGAACTCTGCCAAGTCCCCTTTATTTTCAATCATATTTGCAAATGTTCTCGTGGATTGCAATGTTGACATTGAAGCACGGCCAAAACTAAAGGTTTTTTGATATCGAAACGTGGCGAATCTATTCAATTGATACACTATGTGACAGTTATAATAGACTCTCTATCTAAAAAGAAGAGAATCGACACTATGAATCATTTTGATATTATGTAATCTACCCCATTCTATTATAGTTCACGTTCCGTGTTTGTCCAAAAATATCACCTTACCTACATGGATGGAATTTTTTTGCCGCATTTGGGTAATTTAATTAGTTGAACCACTTTTTTTTAAATTTTGCATCTCTTGGGCTTACGTTTTAACCTGACAACGACGCCTATTTTTGGTGCTGTGGTACGACGCGATATTGCACAATTTTCCAAAATTGAATTCTTTTGGTTATTTACGAGATGTGATGTAAGGCTGTTTTTTAAACCGTTGTACCATTTAATTCAACTGGCTTGGCTACTAGAAGGCGGGGCTTCGTGACCTAGTTAAGGTTAGAGAATGATCCGAGAGCACGCGCGCGGGAGAGACGCAGATTGCGTAACGGGCGCGAGCGGCCTCAATTAGATCGCATAGTCCCGCCTTCCAGCCGCCAAGCTAGAATCAAAGGTTAAACATCTACATTGGCATCTACATTCTCATCTCATTGGCATCCGCAAGTATTAAAAGCCTCGTAGACTTACCCCCGAGTGCAAAAAATTCTTAAGAAATATTGTATCTGAAATAGAATAGTCTCTGCAAGAGGCTTGGGCCACCGGTGGTCCATAGTTCACATCGTCGTCAGTGGGTTAAGCTTTACAATGTAAGCTGAAGTGACCCCCCCCCCCATCCCTTAGCCTCATCTTATTCACTCCCCGTCTTTTTTGTTTCATTTGGGAGAAATTGTACAAATGATCACTTTTTCTTCGTTTTTTTTGAGTCTCTTAGTGGTATCTTTCAAGCACCATGATGTGAATCAAAGATAACTCTTCTCTCTCCCTCTCTCCCCTCCCCCCCCCCCCCCGCCAATGTTTTATTTACTCCTTCAACGATCACTTGACTTATCCTAAATGACGCGAGAATAGGCGATCTATGTGCTGTTGACCTTAAGAAAAGAACCACGTGTTAATGCGCATGACTAGCCTCGGCCAACGCTTTCTTTTTTTCAGATTAGTCTCTTAGGATTATAGACAGACGCAAATTAATACCTTAGTAATGCACGTCATGTCGAGGCTAATCGCTTTATCAAGTAATTAAGAAATATCTCGAGCGTCTATTCATCGCAATGAATAGTTCTTTTGTGATGCAATCGACCTATTATCAGTTTCAAGCAATGAATGAAGAAAGTATTGTTCTCATTGTTCTTTGTGCCCGCTATAAAAGAAGCTTTGATTTTTGGTGACATTTTCTTACAAAAGACATGATAGAATCCTCTTATCTGCGTGGGTTTCAGGCCTTAATTTGACTCATAATGTTGAATTGCTTAAGTATGATTGAGACTTTGGCCGGATAAATTATCATTGAATAGCTTTCAAAAAGAAATTTTGCACTCAGTGTTTTTGTGGAGTGTCTACTACAGACTTACTATTTTATATTTTCGGGTAAGAATTTTGAAAATGATTATTTGTGCTTAGAAGAAACCCCAAGGCTATGTGGCTCTTATACTTTTGTAATCATAATGGTTTCTTGGAAATTTTCCTGTTATTACATTTTTGTAATAATTTATGCTTACTATCAATATATAGGAACTTCTGAGATCTTTATCTGTGAATAAAATTTTTTTGCGTTAGTTCGACACACTTTGCAATAATTGGCAAAAATTATCAAAACAACATACTCTTCTATATTGACGAGGCTGTGTTTTGAAAGAATAAGTATTGAAGATCCAGTTCAAATAAAAAAGTCATTATATGTTTTCCTAAAAATTACCTAATAGGTCAAGAACGCTCTGCATCGAAAAATCTGTTCAAAAATTGATATTTTTGCTTTTTTTTCTATTTTCGCATTGCATTGCATTTAGGACTTTTTGTTATAATGCTCTTGTACTACTGGCTTGCGGCCATTCAGAAAGGAAAAAAGAATGAGTTTATATAAACCTCAAAGAAGAAACATGAACATGACTGTTGAATGTGCCTGTGTGAATACATGAAGTTATGGGGAATGAAGTTACACGTAGAAAAAAGAGAAAATCTCCCTATATTCAACTAGGGTATCTTCTTTGATTTTTCAGTGCAGTTCGGATTTGTCTTGTCATTTTTTTGTGTATCACCGATATTTTTTGAATAAATTTGGCTATTACTGCCATTTCTAGCTTTTCTCTCATCTTAGCCTCTCTAGCATCCTCTTTCCTTCCGTTCCTCAACCTTAGTGGTCGAATTCGTTCTACTCGAGTTCACTAGTCTAGAGTCAACTGAGCTTTTGAAAAGCCATTGTGTATTCATCCCGTCTCTCGTCCGGAGACTTGATTTCCTCATACAAAGCGCCTACGCACAATTTCCTAGTTCAAATACATACCGCTGCTACTCTGTTTGTTCCCGTCACCGCTGCTGAAATTTATCTTTGCGTAAGTGAACAAAGCGTTGTGTTCCGGGTGTTGATATTTGGTTTAGAGAGGGGAAAGGGGGGTAACTTCGGGGAAATGGGAGAGGGGAGCATTTGGACGCGTGTTTTGGTGCAGGGTAAAATATTTAATCAAATGGCTCTTGTAGAATAAAAATGTTGCTTATATCGTCTCTGGACGGCGATTCCGGTTTTTTACACCATAGTCTGCTAAACCATCTTCAACCCATTGACGACGACGCCTAATTTCGCTTGGCGGCGGCGCTGTGGGACGACGCGATTTTGCACAACACTTTCGGTGTGGAAAGGTTTTGTTGTTATTTACGAAATGAAAGGTTGTTTTGTAAACAACTACAAATACTTTGTTGAACGACGAAGCTTACAAGTCCCAAGAGCGCAAAAATTTGAAAAAGTATTGATATGTGGAAAAATACTAGAGCCACAAATAATACCCTTTGCAAGAGGTGTGGGCTACCGGTGGTCCACGTCGTCGTCAATGGGTCAGGAAAGGTTGTAGGAAATCTTGCAAAAATGATTGCACTTGAAGGGAATCGAACCTTCGACCTTCCGCTCTACAGTCAAAGCCACTATCCACTACACCATTCGACAACATTTTTGCGCGCGACATAGATCTGGCTACTCGAAAGTGCGTGGCAGGCTGCCAGGAAGAACCCTTCAAAACTCATTTAAAATGGTTATTTAGCAGATATGAAATGCAAATTCAAAATCACCGCCCAGAAACGAATTAGGCGATACATGTCAATTTACGGATCGGCACTGCAACTATATATCCCTTTCTTGTAAGGAGTATCTTGGTGTTTCGTAGTGCTGTATTTTTTGTCATTTTGGTCTCATTCGCTCCGTATTCTCTGAAGCCAAAGAACTGAGTGTATCGTCTCCGTTTTCCTCGCCATTTTCTCCATTTTTCCCATAAAAGCTGGCCTTCACCTCGTGAATATTGCCACTTCTCTATGTATTGTCTTCCCGTCGGCTAATCGCCCATTAATCCTTCTATTATTAAGGATCGACGGATGTCCCAACTCGCATAGGGGGCTGCTGCTGTCTAGTGCCGTGGCGATTGCGAGTGAGTGCGAGTGCGGTGTTCTGTGTACCTCCATCTGAGCACTTCTCCCACTTCTCGGCATCGTCTCGACACACATACACACACAAATGAGTCAGACGTTCAATCGACGACCTCGGCATTGACCTCTCATCCTCAGTCTTATCATACACACATCCATACACAGATATATACCAGGTAATCAATAGTTTGTTGATCTTTTTGTATTTTTTGATCATTTGAATGTCGTAATTTACCCATCTCTGTATATATATCTGAAGCAGCTTGCCCCTTGACCCTCAAAAATCCTAAACAAACATAAGACTGACCCATCAAAATTGCTAGTTTTATGGACGTCATGCAGGAGGCAGCAAAGGCTTACCCATTTGCCTCTGGAAACGCTTGGGGAGCTCCGGATTCCTCGCGCCTCTAATCATTTTTCACACCTCTGATACTTTACAAGTTGAAGAATTGAACGAAAATCTTTTTGGAGAGTATCTCACCCCGGATCAATTTGAGATTCTCGCAATTTCTTTCAATCTCAGCTATAATCGATTTCAACTTATTTGGATATTGGGTTCAGGAAATTTTACTCCAAAATTCGCAACGGAAGGAACTGATTCTGATGCAGAATAAAGGAGGAGTGCAATAATTCTTCATGGTTCTTGTCTTCGATCTGAATAACTGAGAAAGATTTACATGTTTATATTTGAGATTCTGGTCTGAAGATTGAATAGACCAATTCATACTTTAAAATCATTTGACGTTGATCTATGAGTCCTTTTTGAACTTGTTATCTATCTTACTTGCTACGAATTCAAAACATAAAAGTATCTCAAAACTTGCTACGCTTTGAGAAATCAACGATCAATTTGGCATAGGTCATCTATAATTAGAAGTGCGAAGAAGTAATTAGAGGCGCGAGGAAGTCTGAAGTTCCTCAGGTACTTCCATAAGCAGAACCGGCGAGCCTTTGCTGCCTCCTGCCCGACCGCCTAGTTTTATATCGTGAGTCCACTAGTAATATTATAAAGTATTGGGTTGGCACACATACCAGGTAAATAGTTTATTGATCGCTTTTGATTTTTGAAATCTATGATTTTATTGCAATTGTTGTTGTTGGTTCATCAATGTATATATCTGAAGCAACTTGCCCCTCTAGAATCCATAAACATAGGACTGACCTATCGAGAAAACTGCTAGTTTTTATATTGTGAGTCCCAAATTTTTAAGTATTAGGTTGATATTTATACTAGGTCGATAGTTTATTGATCGCTTTCACACTCGCAAATTTTTTTTGGCTACGTACATCGTTTATAGCTTTAGTTTTATAGCCCTTGATTGTATTTGTCAATGCCATTACTCATTCACATACATATATTTTATACACTCAGGAGCCCCCCCCCCCTCTCTCTCCCTCTTTCTTCTCTCAAGAAGCTAATTGGTCCATCGAGAAGAGTGCTAGTTTTCTTGATGGATAGTTTACAAATAGTCATATAATATAGTAAAATATAGGTTGATAAGTGTCTTGGACCAGAATTTTTTGGAATTTTGTCATTTCCTCAGACTTTGGCAACATGGTTCAAAAATACATATCAAAGAGGAGAAATCCTGCGCTTTTCACAGGATTTGAGCCGAAACTTTCGTTGATATATCATAACGATAAATATGATCGAGAAACATCCAAAAGTTTCTTGAACTCAGAATGAAATTGCAAGATCTATCGTTTATTCATATTCAAGAATTCGTGGTGATCAGCTGTCACCAAAAAAATCATGATTTTCGAATTTTAATTAACTTTTTGTGATTCGAATATTATTTGTGATGTTTGTGAAAGAATACGCATGTAATTTAACCTGAAAACCTAATCAACCTTCATGCCTACGTTTCATAACTTGGAAAACTCATGTATCCTAATAGTTGGGGGATCTTTTAAGGAATTGTCTAGCCTCAATCCTTCGAAAAATTGAAGATTTTCTGTCATGTTTTGAGGTAAGTAGCCACTATCTTTGCATTTTGAAAAAATCTTTCACTTATGCGACCTCTTGGCAACGATCCATAGAAAAGTCTTGATAATTTCGAAAGATTTTCGAAAATAGATGTTTTGATCGATTCAGTGAGTGGTAGCGTCGAATCTGGATCACCTTTTCTTTTCTTGTCTTTTGTCGTTTTTCATCGTTACAAGTAAATATGCATCCCTTGATCATTAAGTAATTTGCATCTATGTTATCAATTTTGGGACCAAGCTCAGCATCTCCTCCTTTGTTTTCCTTTTTGGTTAAGAAAATTTTTACGTTAGATTTCTTTTGATGGATTTTAGCTAGAACTGCAAATATTTCTGCCAAACGCATTGAAACAATTTCTCTCCCATTTCATCTTCCGAACTGAAGATTTATATCATTTTTTGAAGTTATCCTTACAGCTTTTTTTCGCAAACCTTCATATGATACCAATTGTTTTCTTTTCCTCTATCGATGCTTAGATGATTTAGTTCTCCGTTATTTTTGACCTTTCATTCGGCTGTTAAGGAAAGTTTGTGGACCAACCGAATAAGAAATTCCAACTGAAACCACATTTTACCATCATTTTGAGCATTTTTAAACGAACAGCGCGAAAATCCCAGCAAGACCAAAAATACTTTGATCGTCGTTGTTTCGTTGGAGTTTAACGTATTCTAAACGAACTTGTTGCTATTTTTAGTGCCATCAGTTAGGAATTTCACGTTCAGATTTGCAGCTGATTCTGTTTCTAAACTTCTCGACACATTCACAGCTCTTAGTTTTTTTGCTGGTTGTTTATGGCTTTTTCTGCAGTGCGAAACAATGTTTTTGCCACGATTTTGCATTTGTTTTTCTTTTTTCTTTCATTTTCCACAAATCCTACTCTTGATTTTCGAAAAACAAAAGCTATGTGGGTGTTGTATTCTGACTTTTTCTTATCTATTCAATATGCCGTACTTTTTCTTTCATTCCTATACGTTTACTATAGTCCTGAACATGCTCCCTCATTATTAGTTACTATTTGACTGTACTTGAGCAGGAATTTAGTAATTAATTATTTTATCATGCTCGATTACTCAAGCATCGTTCTCAAGGTTTCGTCTGCGAATTATAGTTTGGTTATTTGCTATCACAGAGATTTTTCGCATTTTGACAAAAATGCGCTTTTTCCATGAAGAAACTGTTCATAATTACACCCCCCCCCCCCTGGCCCCCTCCCCTCTTCCGCCTCATAAGTAGTTAATGCTGCGTTTAGCTCCCAGATCATCGACACCTCATGCTTACACTAATCTGCTCTCTAAATAATGACACTACTATCAGTGTCTTAAAGACTCAGGAGATGAATTCCTCCATTTCGTCACACTCTAGTACTTCCATGTAGAGGACCAACTCCTTATGACCAGGGCTCGATACAGTTGGCTTATAAAAAAGCAAGCTGGGTATCGTTTTTGGGACAAAAAGCAAAGGGGTTATTATTTCTGTGAAAAAACATTACATAGGTTACGTTTCTTGGTCGACGTTTCGTTTTTTGAAGTTTTTTGAAAATAAAAAACAGAACAACACAACTCAGGTTACGTTTCTTTGGTCGAGTTCGTTTTTGAAGGTTTTTAGGTTTATGGTTTAGGAACAAAGAGGACTTCGTAAAATTCAGGGAAAATCAAAGGGAACATGGTTTTTTGCATTTTCGGAATGCCACCTCGTGCCGAGCCCTGCTTATGGCTTAAATCATCTATTAAAACGGAGCTTAACCAATAGGAAACAAACCCGTCCTGCTTGCTTTGCTGTCAGTATTAGCCTAGCAACAGATTCTTATTTATTATCCGCTTCCACGTTGACCGAGCAGTTTTGAAAGATTTTTTGGCAGTCTTGAGCTGTCCCATTCTGGATGTTCTTTCCATTTATACAGCTTTTATAGCATATAAAAGGAATCACCATCGAGGGTTTGGTTAATAGAACGTTTTTGAATCCAACACTGCCAATACTGCCAAGTATTTTTGTAATTTATTACGAGTAATCAATTGCAGAGATCTTGCATATCGTTTTTTCTTATATCTAACTTCTCAGGCAGTTTCAATATTTGATAATTTTTTTAATTCCGGGTGCAACAAACATCGAAAAGCTTAGAAGCTTTGTCTTTATCTACAAGACTTAGGATGTAAAGCAGAGCCATATCAGGGCGTTGAGAATTGAGCGAGAATATCATTTGATAAATGAGAATGATTACAAAATAGTAAAAAAACTATTTTCAAGATTTGGGAAAACCTGTGTCTCGACTTCATTGAATCATTTTATGGACTTAAAGCTTTTTGAGGGGTTATACCAGGGCTTGGCAAAACTGGCACCAGGGAAACTTCAAAACGAAGTCCCTTTTGACCTTGAAGTTTTCGTAAGAAGCTTCTTTGACTCAACTCTAATGATAAAAAAAATTTCAAAGAACGAAACGTGAAAAAAGTCGCATTTGTGTCTTTTTGGTCGCAAAAACGATATCCAGCTTGACTCGGTCCAGCGTGCCGAGCTCTGAGTTTGATTCCAGAACTCTTTATTGTTAGGGGTTTTCTAGGTAGAAGAACGATATCTTGATTAAGCACCGCCTTCGCGGGCTACTGGTCCTAACACGATGTACAACATTAGGGCAAAAGTACCAGCAGTCCGGCGGTACCTAAACGAGGTATTCGTTCCTCTACCCAATCGAAATTTTTTTGACGAATAACCCTTTTATTTGAGAAGTTGTGCTACTTCCAGAACCCTTCATTGTGTGGGGCTTTTTTTCGTCGAGTTGACATTCGAAGTGCATTCATTTCACATTTGAATTTTACTATAAATCAGGAAAGTAATGAACTGGCAAACTCTCACCCTTTTTTCGAACCTCTTACTCATCACTTTCATAATTTCACCATTTTCGACTTTGATGTCAAAATGAGCGTTTTTTGGATTTTTCTATAGATGCAAGTCATTACAAAGAGAATTGTTGTTAGACGTGGAATTCAAGTGTTTCGCCATTTTGCTTGGAGAGAGAAAAATGTTGCATTTCTCCTTATATGAATCTTTTTGTAAAAGTTCAAAGTCGACACTTCTATGCATGCATTTTATTCCGTACACCAAAACTTTGTTATTTGAGCATAACTTTATAAAAAAGTGCGGGAATATTCTCACTTATAGAAAATCTCAATTTTTTGGCAGCAAATCGTTTTCATTTCAACTTCAGTTTTTGGAAAATTTTCATTTTCTCACAACATTTGGACTCGAACAAGAAGCAATATTATTACAATCGTACCTCCAGCCTTTCTCATTGCCCTCAGCAAGCCCTAAACCCCCCATACGATTTTTATACGATTGCTGCGATAGGGCCACTGGTACAACCCCTTAGGCATTGACACTTCGAGAAATTGCCCTAATAGCGCTAATAGATCTATTTATTGATTTATTGACATGACAAGGACAGTCTGCTAATCTATCAGTGTCCAGATCTTCTCTGAATATTATATCTTTCAGATCGATACCCATAAATTCCATAACCGAATCGCCTTCTCGATTAGAATATATTCCGAAAGGGATTTCAACATTCTTCACTATGATGCATTGTACAACGGATTATTTGTTTGTTCCACCATTTATGGCATATCCAGCACCGGATATCTCTTATAATGGTAAGATTTTTATCAAAATATTGATAAATTAGATAGTTGCTCTATGGTCCCTAGGAAATAGGAAGAGGGTCAACGAAGAATTAGTTATTTTCAAACAAGCAAAGTGAAACTAGTGATTTTTGGCTGGTCCCTCATCAGATCCACGCTTCAAAATGCTCACCCTTTTCGAAAACAAACAGTTTTCTCACAATAACTGTAAAAATTCCTCAAATATGATTTTATCCCCTGAAAGCATAAAATTACGATTTCATTTTTTTTTCTCACGCTGTGGTGCTAAATGCATTTGATCGCGATTGAACCTTAAAATATATGGAAGAAATGTTTAGCAAACGAAAGCTTGGATATCAGAATAAAGCTAAAATACTTCCCAAGCTTTACTCTCCACTATTCAAGAAGTCATCATATCACGCAATTTTTAAAAAAGAATGTCATTCTTGCAAAAAATTTTTATGCACTTTAATGAAGTTTGCGCTGAAACATTGACTTCTGGAATTTATTTGCTGGAAGTTGTTAGTACAAAAGAGTTTTGGTAAATCTTATGACTTTTTATAGAGGTCGAAGTTTTTCTAATGGAAGGATGACACAATTTTTTCGTTCTAGATGGGTCGAAGAATTCTCGAAAACACATCTTGAACTTTCGAGCACCTTTTTGCAAACTAAAAGAACTGTACAAAAACGATTTTCGTTGCCCTTCCTGCGTATGTCTTTGTTAATTATTAGGTTGGAAAGAAAAGAATGTCGCTTTTTTGAGCTTTCTTCCGCTGCAGTGGATATTTAAGAAGTAAGGCGCACCCAAGACCAAAATTTTGAGGTAAAAGTTTTGAAGGTTTGTAGTCTATAAAGGCATATATGGGAGGAGCTCAGGACCATTGAGGGCAGAGTTTGCCATTTTTTGAAGCGAAAATCCGATTTTTAGCATCTTGTGGCGGTAAAATTTCTGGCATTTCATATTGTGGCAGTAAAATTTGGGCAAATCAGGATTTCCAAGGTCCATAGGAATCTTGTAGAGTTCTTTTGTTCTATCGTATGTTACCCTCCCCCCCCCTCTCCCCCAAATTTATTTTTGGACCCGTCTTAATGCCTTACTATGAAGAACGACAGTCTTTTCTTTCCAGCTAGTATTTGTCAGTACTGAAAACTTGTAACTAAGCCTTTGCAGAAATAAAAATATTTTTAGCAATTACTAGAGTAGGATTTGGTTTCCACTTCAAATGTCTGTAGTATTCTCTCAGTGAGCAAACCAGCAGAGTAGAAGCGTAGACTATTTTACCGACTTGAAATTTCCCCTCAAGCCTTTCGTGAAGATAAAATCTGATGTAGCAGAGTTGAGAAATTATTCTGAATCGTCGGAAGAATAGCATTTTGCTGAAAGTTCTTACATCATGCCATTTTCAGCCCCAGCAAATCGACTCAGTCAATCTCTACTTCATCTGCACGTTGTCGGATCAACACCTCAATTTACCTCGATTTCCGTTGCTGGAAGTCCTGTTTTCTCTAACTACCTACTCAGTGTTCGCCCACAAAAACAAACAAATACACCGATCTCGAGCCCAAAATCATTAATCAAATTGTTGAGAGGTTTACGGCTTAGTGAAGAGCAGCTTGTATCAAATAGGTAAGCTTCTGCATCCCTTGCACAAAAAAAAGTTTAAAATTTTTTTTCCAGTTTCCCACGTTGGAAAAACGGCGATAGGACAAAAGCCGTTGTAGTACCAAGTTTTTTCGACACTGTAAATGGGCGAAGAGAGTTCATTCCAGATGAAGGTGAGTAGCAGCTAGATCTACGACATTTTGCAGAATTTGATTAAAATTTTTCAGATACAAGACGCAGATGCGTCCGATGTCATGCTCCATACCGATTGCCTAGTGACGGAAGAAAAAGAATAGATTTCTGCATACATCATGCAGAACCAGCAGTATTTTCTTCAGGTAGGTAGTGCAAAAAGATTTTTTTTTGGCAAAAATGTTTTCATTATTTAAATAAAAGGTATTTTACGATGTGTATCTGTATAGAGGAATTTTTTCTGAATGAAAACTGGTAGTGCATCTTGGCGCATCCCAAAAGAGGCAGTCTTGGTTTCTCTAAAAGAAAGCATTTTAGGAACTTGAAAATTTAAATTTTTTCTCAGAAAATTTAGGAATCAAATCTAACATACGCGCGTGTCTCCGGCGGGCTAACGTTGGCATTCGAGCGCATGAGTCGTCATAACGCCTGTACACGGCAGCCGCGTTGCAGGCACGCTCGCAAGCTTTCAGTCTACAGCGACCTGGTTGATTTCGTGCAGTCGACTTTACCTCAGCACGTCCTCGCCTTTGAAATTTCTCTAAAGTTTTCACTTATGCTTGTAACCCTAAAAATTGGGAAGAAATTAAAATAAGGCTCCTAAACTTTTTTCTAAAGCTCTAAGTTTTATAAGTCCTGGGAATTTCGCACAGTTTTTTAAACAAATTGCTTGCGCGTTTTTACAACTCATGCTATAAACTCCCATCCCTTCTCCTTGTTCTGCAATTGCGGACCATGAGTAAAGTTTCAAAAGCTACAAATATTGGGCTGGAAATCTTACTGTTTTTTTTTGTTCAAGTTAAGCTTGCGGCAATCGTGCTCGAAGTGAATAACCCTCCCAAATTTTTTTGTGAAAGATTTTTGGAATTTTTTTTGCTTTTTTGTTCTTATACACAGCGGTTTTTTTTTGAAAATCACCGCAAAATGCGACAAAATTGGTTAGATGAAAGAAATGAAGTGCTTGCAGATGAAAAATCTTCTTCTTTAGAAGTGAAAACACACCCCTGTTGTGGTAGAGCTCAAGGAGTAGCTGGATGTCAACACGCCGAAAGCCATGTAACCGACACCATGAGAGAATCTGTGCTTTCCGAATTTTACGCCACTCCCGAGCCCGCAGGTCCTTCGGATCCCCGGACAGATGCTGTGAGAATATTCCAACTTGGATTGATACTCCGGTTAATTTGATTTTTTCAGTTTTATGCTCTCGACTGTGAATTTGTCTATACAACATGGGGAAAAGAAGCAGCTAGAGTTACGATGGTAGACGAGTACGGTAACGAAGTGGTCGACTGCGTATTTCGTCCCGAGCATGAGCTTGTGGATCCAAATACACGGTACTCTGGATTGACAGCCGAAGAAATTGAAAGCAGCGGGACCACATTGAGTGACGTGAGTTTTGGACCATGAGATACGATTTTAATTGATTTTGTACTGTTGTGCTTTACAGTACACGGGCAAATCTGTGCGCTGAAGATTCTTATGTGGATGGGGTGGGGTCCTGAATTTTTTCGGGAGGAGGGGAGGGAGCACTGAAATTTTTTCGAACAAAAAAACCGCATTACGACATCCGGAGAATTGTTGAGCGCTTTCCAAAATTTCTGCCAGCCTATGTGGTAACAGTCACGCCCCTTTTTCTAGAAAAAATAATCCCACAAAGCCAATTCAGACTTTAAAAGTACACAAAAACGATTCAAATCATTTACTGGTAAAAACAAGTCTTGCACAGATTTATAACTCATGCAGATAGCTCTCGAAAATGTCAAAACCATTCTCCTTCCCCCCCCCCCCCCTCCACCCCTCCTATCGCTCGCCACTCGTGGATACTGATAGGGAGGCCCTAGGTTGTCCATTCCTAAGCGGCAGCTCATATGATTTATATTCAAAAACCTCAAAAGGTACCTCTCTAAACTGCAGCATAGACCATATTTCCGGAAGGACCAATCAGCTTGTGCGAGTATGGTAGATGATACGGTATGGGCTGGAGTTCCACGAGGATTTTATTGCACTTGAATAAATCGTATGAGTTGCCGTCGGCGCAAAGGCTTATTCAGTTCTTTTTGAAGATTTTCCACATGAGAAACCCAGGTACACAATTTGCCTGGACACTGCTTCTGCTTTTGAAATGCGATTTCGAAATTGTCAGTACATTTTATTATTCCAGGTCAGAGAAATCCTATTTGAATTGATCAATTCTGAAACGATATTGATTGGACATGCTCTTGAAAATGACCTCAAAGCGTTGAGAATCGTTCATGATAATGTGATAGACACTTCAGTACTATTCTCGTAAGTTCTTGACCTTAAAAACCTTAGCTAAAAAATCGATAATCGATTTTTTAGGCGCTCTAGTGCTGAGGGACGTCGTTTCAAGAGAAGTTTGAAATCGTTGGCTCGAGAAAAATTGGATATGGAAATTCAAAGTGAAGGTAAAGATGAAAAATTATTTTTTGTATTGAACTTCTGATTTTTGTATTTTTTCAGCTGGTGGCCATGATAGCGGTGAAGATGCGTGGGCTGCCATGCGGCTAGTACTAAGAGCAGTAAAATCAGCTGTGCCATAGAAAAAATACAGCAGAGTGCCTTAGTGGTTTTTTCTTTTTTAGATCTGAGAAGTTTTGTTGATATGTCAATATACAGTTTTTTGAACTACATTCTCTTGTTTCTTCCTTGTAAATATATGCAATGGTATTGTGTGTTTATTACTACCTTATCAGTAAATTGTATTTTTTCCTTTCTTTCTTCCTATCTATGTAGTTTTAGTGTATGGTCGTAATTGTGAGATAATCTTGATTGATTCCGTCTATTGTCTATTCCATTATATGATTTGAAAACTAACATAAACAATGAAATCTCAAGTACTTCCACAATTTTTTGTATTTGAACTGGAAATTAGAGACAGCGTATAATCAAAATTTTGCCTTCCATGTTTTTGTCATTCCGGGGCCTTTCCAGGTCCCGATTACAGTTATGAAGTTCAATTATGCAACCCCCCCCCCCCAAAAAAAAACTCATTTTCTGGGGCCTGTGTCCTTGCGGCGTGGACGACTTTCAGTGGTGGGCGGAGCTTCATAAGGTGGGCGTGGCTTGATGACACTCTTGTGGGTTCCGTGGACCAACGCAGATGCGCCTATCCTGGGGCCTTACCTTTGATTCAATTGGAGCTTCTGGAAGGCGGGGCCTGGTGACCTAATTAAGGTCGTGACGCAGTATGCCTCTCTCGCGCGCGTGCTCTGTAGTCATTCTCTCACTTTAACTAGGTTACGAAGCACCGCCTTCTAGCCGCTAATCTAGTTGAATCAAAGGATGCATTTGTAAGTATCAACCAAAGGGGTTAGGTCCTGCATGGGCGTCGCCTTTAAAAAAATCAGTTTTTGTATGGGTTGAGGTTGTTATTAGTCAAGAAATGGGTCCAGCCATTTATCACGGACGAGGCCTTTATTGAGTCATCGCTCAGAAAGTAGCTCAGATTACTTATTGTTGGCCAAAAAATTCAACTCTAAGGTTTCGCCCAGACCGTAGTCTTTCCGAGCAATCGACGCTCTCGAGTACGGTAATGAGCGAAGATTTAACCTTTAATTCCACTTTACGAATGAACCTTATGAGATGCCGCTTTAGCAGTGGCCTAGTTAGGGCTAAACAATGTTGGAGGAAAAAATCCAGTTGAGGAGGACTTTGCCCGGACCTCGCCTTTGAGTCGGCTCAAATGGTAGAGGAGGTTAAAACGTCAGAAGAGTTCCGCTGATATCTGACATCAATCCTGCATCGTCACACATTACTGTGCTAGTTGGCGCAACATACCATATTCGGAGTGCATGTAGTCGTCACTTTTGGCTTATCTTGTGCATTGCACACGAATTGCGCTATTCCACGGCAAGTGCACTCTAGAGTTGCCCTTCTAGATGACTTAATTAGGATAACAAGTTGTTTTGAAAGGTCAATGCTTTTTGTATTTGAATAATTTCTAACAGATGGAAATAACCATCTCTACAACATTTGCGTATACAGCGGTTGTATCTATTTTTTATTAAAGGAAGTTGTGAAATACCGTGCCTGATGTGCAAAGTAACAGGTTGTTCTTGGCACCAAGTCGGAAATTAAACGCGATTCTTTACGTTATCAATAAGAACGAAGGCGCTTTGCTCTTTCTCAATTCTTGCATAGAAGCGAAATGCAGAACAGGAACGGACATCTACTTCCTTATTTGATGATTGATAACCAAGATGGAGTTGCAATTTTGTACAATGATCCTTCTTCTAAAGTTCTTGGCTTCTTTTTTTTGTAGCGCGCATAGAAATTGGACAAATTTTGGAAAAGAACTGTAACGTAGCGATTGATCCATATAGTCAAAGTCGGACTATTACGATTCGTATTTCAGAATTTGAATTTTTTTCTCACAATATTTAATATTTTCTCTCCATGCCATCATATTTTTATCTCTCTAGCTAGTTTGGGGCAAAATCTTCCAGCAGTCACCTAAGATGAATTTTATCAGTGCAAAGTTGTTGCCAATGTCGTTTCTTAAAACAGTGTATTAGAGTTTTGCGAAAATTTATCAAAATCGAAAAATTTCTGAAACTCTGCGAATCAATGCTGTAATGTGCCCTGTTAAATCATAACGTAGTTTCTCATGTTGCTACTATGAAATTATTTCATCATTTTATATTCATTTTGTAATTGCTTGTTGGGTCCAGAATTTCAGTTCAAATTCGTAGTTTGTTCTACAACACTGGAATTTGTGAGAGTTTTTTGTTTGTGAGCTCTTTAAAGAATTCGTCATAGACTTATTTGTAAATTACCTAGTTCAAAGTGTAAAATAAACTAGAAAATATGGTAAAGTAAATGGGAAACCTCGAATTTTCGCATCCACAACTTGTCAAGCTAGATAGGCTATCTTTTTTTGAAAAATGTGATCTAATTCGGTTCAGTTTCGTCAGAACTCCGTGGTTTTCCAATTTGTATGCATCTACTTTTCTCCTTCCATTTCTTTTTATGCTCATCTTTACGCTCAACAATTTGTATGGCGAAAATAGAATACATTGAGATGAGCATAAAGAAAATTCTTCATGATTGATCTGACAGCAACTTATACTAAAAGAGTTCTCTGTTTTTCTACACTTGAAAAATTTTCTGACTTTTTTGAATTTTTGCTCAGCTATTATTGATTTTGTTTTCAATCAATCGATACTTTTGAGATTTAGTGCTGCGTATCTGTAAAATGGAATTACACATAAAATTCTAAATGACGAATTTCATTAATACAGAATTCGTACCTTTGTTATGATGGCAGTGCAGATTTTTTTTTGAGCGATTAATGGTCAAACCGGATATTATGGTGAAAATAAGGTGAACATTCTTGTGTTTGCATCACATAATATCACTGGATGAATAGTGTTTATAGTTCATTCAAAGGATTACCACTGTTTTTTGGTGCCAAATGAAAAAAAAAAGCAAAAACGCAAGGTAACATAAAAAGGTCTTTATTAATCTTCGAAAAAAAATCATTCTTTCAAAATCTATCCACATTTCTTCTTACAATCTTCCTCAGTTTCAAAATTATTCTCGTTTCCACGGCAGCCTCCATAAATAAACATTTTGCATTTCTTTTCTTCGGTGGAGTAGCCGTACCTGTAAATAAATGAATTTCATCTTCCTCTAGAAGAGTTAAACTGTAAAAAACGCTATATGTAGAAGTTGTATAGTGGAAACGCTGGAGACAAGACCAAAATCACTTACGTAAGAGAAAAAAGCAATTTGTATTTTTTTACCAGACTTGAAAAAGGTTTATGAAGAATCGAAAAATCTCTGCGTTGAAAGCAAACCATTTACAAATTTAGCAAATAAGTTAAAGTCACTTACTTTCTAAAAGCAGCACGACATGGCCCTGTTTCAAGAGGCATTTCGCATATTTTATCTATGCAGAATGCTAAAATAAACTTGGTTTTATGATAAAGAATAATTTATGTAAAATTTTGACTTTACTTACCCAAAGAAATCAAGGCGAGAAGAATTATCAGAAATCTCATGGTACAGCGAACAAATGGCGTCAAAAACAATGACTAATGGTAGGACGAACAGAGTTGTTTAGGCGTGGTTTTGCGAATAAACAGCAGACAAACACGAGGTGTGAATTTATACACGCAGACATTTGATACCTTTATATGGCATGTTAATGATTTGTGACAAATTGTGTATGACCTTTAGTTGTGCGCAGGACATTGCGCTAAGGTGTTTGTTGCTAAAAAAATAATTGCTAATTAATTGTCTGAAGTGCTAAGAGTAGTCTCAAGGTTGTTTTATTCCTATAAATTTATTAGGATTTACCGAATTTTATTGTTAGAGTCGAGGAACGAAAACAGAACATGATTGTCAAAATGTTTAACAGTCATTTTGAAGAAGATCAGTATAGGTTGGAAAGAAAAGGATGTTAATTCCTTCACCAGCAAAATAGGTCTCTCTCCCTCCCCCTCCGCTCAGAAGTCTAAAAGAATTCCTTGCTTGCTCCTGCGCATCGCAGATACATGCACTCATCCATAAAATTATTATATTGTCTATGACTGACACAAAGAAGAAACGGCATATGGCCAACTCCGCCTCTAGCAGTCTTGGGTTCCTCCCATATACGGAATTAAATAATAAACCTTCGTGACTTTCACTATAAAATTGCGGCCATGTACTTGTTGTAGTTTTTAGCAAGGAAGGATGCCAGATCGCAGTGGCGAACCGAAAGATATGCATAACTTTAGATGAATCTTCATGGGCTGATTTCCAATTTCATCTCCATTCTAACTTCCTTATCTGCTAAGAGCTGAACGTCCAACTTTGGCAAACATCCAGTGCCACATCTTCAAAACAGTTGTACAGAAATACTTATTTATGCGTTCGGTGTATGCATGCATCCCTTGTAACCGATGTACAAAAACCATGCCAATTTATCACTCTCAAGCTGGTTTTCAAAACACATTACGCATCAAAACTCCAATAACTTTACACTTTTGACAGCCCATAGCTTCTTCTAGAGAAGTGCTTAGCAGATAAGAAAAGTGGATTTGGAATCAGCTCATCAAGGCGCATCCACTTATCATTTCGATTAGCCAATGAGACCTGGTATCCTTCATTTGTAAGAAATATCAATGTAACCATATATCCGAGTAAGCTCAGGGCCCGGCACGACGTGGGCAAACGTCAAGCTGGAAATCGTTTTGGGGTAGAGAACAAAGGTGGATGTCGTGATAGAACCTTTACATGTACATATAGGCCATATCACCCACCATCGGTCGGCCGCCCGACCGGGCGGCAGGAGTTCCCAAAGCCTAGCCGCTTTTCCTCGCAGAGGTCTTGGCACCTCCAGAATTCCCTTAGAGGACATGACGCCTTATCGGGGCTAAATGGCGGCTCCGCCCATCACTCCTCTCTCTAGGTGCCCTCATTATGGATTGTGTACACGCACTGTAGGAAGCGTACTGTTTTCGAAGATAATAGCACTGAAATCGAGAAAAAAATCTTTCAAAGGTTAAGGATTCAGTGAATTTCGCATTTCGAGTTACGTTTTACGCGTTTTCGGATAAAATGACGCTTCAGCAGAAGTTATGAGTCTTCCAATCAGGAGGGCGTGCAGGAGTTCCTAGCACCTTTCCTCGCACCAAGTTCGCACCAGCATCCGCACCCAGGAGGATTCTAGCACCCCCGCGCTTTAGAGGTCAGGTCACGCCCATTGCTCCACCCATTTACTGGTCTCATTATGAGATGTGCATACAGCGAGAGCATAGACTCAGTATTAAGGTAACAAGAGAGGAAAAATGGACAAAGAACTGTTCCAAAAGTTCCATAGCTATCATTTATCAACTGAGGAGAGTTGGAAACTCTGCTACGCCATCCTTTCAAAAATGAACACTTGACCATTATTCTATGGAGAGATAAATTGTACAGGATTTTTTGTATAGAAAATCAGTGATTCGAAAAATCAGAGATCTAGTTGATCAGTTGTAAATGCCTGGTCATCTTGAAGTGATTCAGCATCAGGAGTTGAATAACTGAGTGACGAAGTGGTGTAGAACCCTAATACCTTTTCAACGTTAGAATTACCTATTTCGAATGGAGTATATCAAAGTTCCCGAAAAAGCAGCTCAACGCTTTTTTAGTGGTTAGGATATCTGAACACCAGTGGCGAAAACCCGAAAAAATTCTTTTATAAGGCTAATTTGAATTTTTAAAAATTTTTAAAAATTATTTTAATTGCTTACAAAAACAAACAAGTCACTTGCAAATTTTTTAACTCATGTAAGTAACTTCCAAAAATTTCGCGACCCGTTCTCCAGGGTGGGAGGGGCGCCCCCCCCCCCCCCCCCGTCCCCCCTCGGTACGCCACTGCTGAACACACGGTAAGCCACTGCTGAACACATACACTTGCCTATTTTCGTCTGCCATCATATATGTTCAATGAGTTTTTTATTCGGACTACTTTAATCACTACGTAATATATAACGATTTCGTTGTTTACCCATTAAGCCGCCCGATAGTTGGATCATGGCAAACGAGGAGGCCGCAGACGTAAAAATTATGATGAAATACACTGATCTTTGGAATTGGATTGCTGCCAAGTGGCATGCGTTTTGGAGCGCTGCCAAATTTCATAACGAGTGACTAAGCATATTTTCGTAAGGGGTCACACGTATTTCGAAAGGCAATCATGAGGTCGCAATGATTTTGAGACTGGGTCGCCAGTGTCCGGGTGTCGGGTGGTTATTTGTAGCTGCTTTTTTTTCGAGCTTGTTATCCCAGAATGTGTCTTTCAAATATGTTGTACTCGTATTAGTTGCTGAAATGATGCCAAATTGCGTAACAGCGTGATTTGAGCTAAATTCATCCAAGTTTCCAACTCTTGTAAAAATGCTCTAACAAAGAACAGTCACTTTATCATCGTCTTGCTTCCACATGTAGACAAGAGAGCGCGTGAGTAACTTGGTTTCGCTGATACTTTTGGAAACGTTTATCTAATAACAGCCTTGCTTTTGCTTGTGTAATGGGTCCCGCTTGTGCTTTCAACTAGGTATAGGTGTATAAGCGGCACATAGGGCAATTGCATCGGGCAGAACAGATTTTTGTACGTTTGGGGCAGTCCTTATAATTTTAAATGGTCTTCAAGCGGCACGTAGGGCAACTTGATCGGGCAGAACAGATTTTTGTACGTTTGGGGCAGTCCTTATAATTTTAAATGGTCTTCAAGCGGCACGTAGGGCAACTTGGTCGGGCAGAACAGATTTTTGTACGTTTGGGGCACTCCTTATAATTTTTAAATGGTCTTCAAGCGGCACGTAGGGCAACTTGATCGGGCAGGAAAACAGATTTTTGTACGTTTGGGGCAGTCCCTATAATTTTAAATGGTCTTCAAGCGGCACGTAGGGCAACTTGATCGGGCAGAACAGATTTTTGTACGTTTGGGGCAGTTCTTATAATTTTAAATGGTCTTCAAGCTGCACGTAGGGCAACTTGATCGGGCTGAACAGATTTTTGTACGTTTGGGGCAGTTCTCATAATTTTAAATGGTCTTCAAGCGGCACGTAGGGCAACTTGATCGGGCAGAGCAGATTTTTGTACGTTTGGGGCAGTTCTTATAATTTTAAATGGTCTTCAAGCGGCACGTAGGGCAACTTGATCGGGCAGGAAAACAGATTTTTGTACGTTTGGGGCAGTCCTTATAATTTTTAAACGGTCTGTAAGCGGCACGTAGGGCAACTTGATCGGGCAGAACAGATTTTTGTACGTTTGGGGCAGTCCTTATAATTTTAAATGGTCTTCAAGCGGCACGTAGGGCAACTTGATCGGGCAGAACAGATTTTTGTACGTTTGGGGCACTCCTTATAATTTTTAAATGGTCTTCAAGCGGCACGTAGGGCAACTTGATCGGGCAGGAAAACAGATTTTTGTACGTTTGGGGCAGTCCCTATAATTTTAAATGGTCTTCAAGCGGCACGTAGGGCAACTTGATCGGGCAGAACAGATTTTTGTACGTTTGGGGCAGTTCTTATAATTTTAAATGGTCTTCAAGCTGCACGTAGGGCAACTTGATCGGGCTGAACAGATTTTTGTACGTTTGGGGCAGTTCTCATAATTTTAAATGGTCTTCAAGCGGCACGTAGGGCAACTTGATCGGGCAGAACAGATTTTTGTACGTTTGGGGCAGTTCTTATAATTTTAAATGGTCTTCAAGCTGCACGTAGGGCAACTTGATCGGGCTGAACAGATTTTTGTACGTTTGGGGCAGTTCTCATAATTTTAAATGGTCTTCAAGCGGCACGTAGGGCAACTTGATCGGGCAGAACAGATTTTTGTACGTTTGGGGCAGTTCTTATAATTTTAAATGGTCTTCAAGCTGCACGTAGGGCAACTTGATCGGGCTGAACAGATTTTTGTACGTTTGGGGCAGTTCTCATAATTTTAAATGGTCTTCAAGCGGCACGTAGGGCAACTTGATCGGGCAGAACAGATTTTTGTACGTTTGGGGCAGTTCTTATAATTTTAAATGGTCTTCAAGCGGCACGTAGGGCAACTTGATCGGGCAGAACAGATTTTTGTACGTTTGGGGCAGTCCTTATAATTTTAAATGGTCTTCAAGCGGCACGTAGGGCAACTTGATCGGGCAGAACAGATTCTTGTACGTTTGGGGCACTCCTTATAATTTTTAAATGGTCTTCAAGCGGCACGTAGGGCAACTTGATCGGGCAGGAAAACAGATTTTTGTACGTTTGGGGCAGTCCCTATAATTTTAAATGGTCTTCAAGCGGCACGTAGGGCAACTTGATCGGGCAGAACAGATTTTTGTACGTTTGGGGCAGTTCTCATAATTTTAAATGGTCTTCAAGCTGCACGTAGGGCAACTTGATCGGGCTGAACAGATTTTTGTACGTTTGGGGCAGTTCTCATAATTTTAAATGGTCTTCAAGCGGCACGTAGGGCAACTTGATCGGGCAGAACAGATTTTTGTACGTTTGGGGCAGTTCTTATAATTTTAAATGGTCTTCAAGCGGCACGTAGGGCAACTTGATCGGGCAGAACAGATTTTTGTACGTTTGGGGCAGTCCTTATAATTTTAAATTATCTTCAAGCGGCACGTAGGGCAACTTGATCGGGCAGAGCAGATTTTTGTACGTTTGGGGCAGTTCTTATAATTTTTAAACGGTCTGTAAGCGGCACGTAGGGCAACTTGA